GATTTCCCCTTTGCTTTTTCCACAAAAACGAATTTCAGCTTGCCCTCCGGAGACCTGCCGCGGAGGCCTGGCGTTAGCTCTCCACAGTCAGTTAGTGCTACGCAATGTGACCTGATTGCGCGACCTTGGCCTATTTGGAGCGCTGCTCAGTGAGGTATCTCCATACTTTCTAAGGACCCGCCGAATCAGATCTCCCTATCTAATTCGGCGGGTCCTTAGGAAGTTAAAGCCCAAAGGAAAAAGTGAAGTTGGGATAGTCGAATTACGCCAAACCGGTGCTCAATAGGTTAAAGATCGGCCTATTCTTATGAAGTATGGAGATACCCTAAATTAAATCAGGACATTTTGATCCGCTCGTTGACGTGAACCGCCAGAGCTGATCAATCGCGACATCGCTGCATCATATATCAATACAGAAACGTTTCTGAACGATTTCTTCATGCTAGTTGTTAACAGCGATGCTTATCAGCTGGTTATCCAATCAGCCTACCAGTCAGTCAATTGCTCCATCGCTAATTTGCCGCTCGCGGACAACGGGTGTCCGTCCCTGTATTCGACTATACCAACGACCTCGCCTGCGGATCATGGGAGCCGGCGATATTAAGCCCCCTTCTAACGCAACTGAGCCGCGTTGGCCACGGCTCCAGTAGGCGCTCTCAGATCAAACTGCGCCTTCTGTTGTTCTGAGGACACTGGGCTAACAGCAGGTAAGGAGATGCATAAAGCACCCGTACTCGGCATTCCGACCTTTCCAAGCAAAGAAGCTAAAGCTTTGTTTAAAGTGCCTCTAGGATGTGCGCGAAGACGACTCGAAGTCCACTGCAGCACTAATGGTCTCCATGTTTCCTCCTTCGTAGCCGCAGAAGACTTTAGCCTCAGCCTGCGGAAGTGCAAGACTTTAAGAGGTCTAATGAACTAACGATCCTGTATTCAATTTACGCCGTCAACTCGATTATCTACCTGGCGATGAGGGTGTTGATACTGCTTGCTATGTGGCCGATATTGTAAATGCCTGTCAACATTTATAAGTTGTACGTTGCTCTTTAGAGTCAATCTTATAATTACACTTGTTGCACCAAGGGTCATGACTTGCCCCCGCATGAGCACCTTATTGTTAGGTTGTTATGATTATTTCGAACCGTATTGAACAAAACATTTTATTATTATCTGTGACTGCTTTGACTCTGCACTTCGTAATAAAATTTCATGGTCACCTGTCTTTCCTTTACTCCACTTAAACAGCGACGCTGGATAATAATACTTATGAATATTAGCTGCTGATTTTACTTCAGTGATGATGTTTTCTCAGCAGTGGGCCAGCTGTAGAGAAAAAATGATCACTGAAGTACAATCTAAAGATTCTAGCCCCTTACGGTAGCAGTTTCTAATGATAGCATGCGTGGAAAAAAAGTTACAAATGACTCAGAAAAGATGAAAGGCGATTTTAAGGTAGTGAATGAGATACCCCGTGATAGTCTACCGCCTCATCGTGGCGAGGGGTGACTCTGTATGTCAAACTGCGAAGTACAGCGGAGGTTTATCCTGCAGCAGGGTCTCCCAAGCTGAGAAGGAGTTCGACGTTTCC